AGTGTCTACAATAAGCATTCAATACAAAGCTCAAAAAGGACAAACAGTCCAAAACAGTCCTAAAACATGCTTGAAGTAAGCTAAAAATAGCTAGAATAAAAGGCCAACACATAGCACAAACTAGACTATTAAGCACAATTGCACTACAAGCATACAAAGCAAGCCTCAAGTGGCCAAACTAGCTCAAAACAGAGCTAAAGCTAGTCAAAAAAGTAGCAAAAATATGCTGAGATCAAGTCACAAAATGGTAGAAAAACATGCTCACATGTTAGTCTATCTACACTTACAAACAAGATACAAGGAGGGGAGGCTACCCCCTCCTATTTTGGACCTCAAAACATAGTTTTTACCACTGAAAATCTCCTGGAATTCAGTGGTTAAAAGAGCCAAAAAAGTTGTTTTAGAAATCTTTGAAAGATGGCATAATAACTTAGCAAGCAAGCTACAAGAAGGGTGGAACAACCCTAACTCCAATCAAACCTCAAACCACCATTTTAAATCATAAAAAAACAGAGATTTCAGAGGTTAAAACTAGCCTCAAAACAACATGCAAAGGTGGCCAAACAAGTATTTAAATTAGGCTTAAAATACAAGTATTCTACCTCTTCAAAGACAAGATGCTATTTAGGCAACAAAGGCACGTCAAACCAAGCCAATATCCTCTTCTAGAGCTCAAATAGGCCCTCAAGAAACCTCAACACAATGATGATCAAGTTTGATCAAGGGCTCACATGCAAGAGTGTAGAGAATTTAGGCATTAAGGAATAAAATCAAGAGAGAGAGGATTGTAGAGAGAGAGGCTCCTAAACTTTTTTCCAACCTCCAAATATGAGAGATAGGCCATCTATATATAGAAAACCATGAGCTTTGGTCGAAAATGTCCATTAATGGACGGCTGGAGCAATCTGGAAACAGCTGGAGGTAAATATCTGCAAAAAATCTGATTTTTGATAGCAGTGGCCGGCACAGGTCCATTCTTGGCTGGCAAGGATCGCTCTTGGATGGCACATGGCCAAAAAAGCCCATCCATAGCCAGCAACCTCCACCTTTAGTTAGCCAGAAAAATCTGCTTCATATGGACTCCTTTGTAGGTCATTCTTGAGCCTAAATTGAAGCCCTTGAAGTCTTATTTCCAATGGTGGAATCCTCACATCAAAATTCCAAGTGTGCAAAAAGTTATGCTCATTTTAGTGAAGACTGCTCAGTTTTGGTTTAACCAGATTCATGCCTAACTTCTCATCAGCTAGTTTTCTTCTCTTCTCTCCTCTTTTCTTCAACTCCAAACCCCTAAATAATGTGTTTTAAAGATTTTTTCAAAGAGTTCACCTCTCTTTTATTCATTTCCACTTTGTCCTTGCTCGGTTTACCGAAAAGCGCAACATTTAACGAAATACGAATCTCGGAACATCGTAGGAACTTTTTTTTCAAAAATATTTTGAAAGAGAGGGCTTTAAGGTCTAAAATCTTGGTCAAAAGGCTTTGGTCCAAAAAAGGGTGTGAGGCTTGGGATTTGACGCTCTCATTGTCAAAGAAATCGAACCTTTGCATAGCATAGCCTGCACTATCAAGTAAGCAATCAGTGGCGCCTAAGTCTTAAGGGCGGTTAAAAATGGGGTGTCTACAGAACCACTGTCGGATTCTTATTTTTCCGTGACAAGTTGTTCGGGCTTAATCTATTCTGCCGGTGCTCTCTAGCTGAGTTCCTCGTTCGGTTGTGTGGTCGGAAATCAACACCCACACATGCTTGTTGAGTATTCTATAGATTTATATGAATTTTAGAGTTGTATAAGTAATTTATTTATAATTTTAATTACGAGATATACATTCTGAAAAATTCTAGCAGATTGAAGAGGAATCAAAAATATAATCTCTTAAATTGTTTATTTGGACTAAAATTTAATATTATGCTAGTCTAATCTTGTAAATTAAAAATTCATGCATATGTGTGATTATGGTTCATTTCTTTTGTATCTATATTATTATTTCATACCATGGTATAAATTAATTGTTTATTTAAATTTTGTACATTGATTTATTAATGTGTGGCATGTGTAATATTTTATATTGGGAATTTTAATAAGTTGGTATTTATTGGTGATTGAAATTTTAATTATTCGTGATTAATATAAAAACTAATTGAAATGATTAACGGTATATATAAAGTTAACGATCGAGGGTTAATACCGGTAGTTCAGGGTGAGTCTTGGTTTTTAATAATTCTTATATAATTGTGTCGCGAAACCTTAAGATGACACGGGACTTATTTGAACCATTTTCAGTATCTGGTTTTGGAAAAAGGGTGGATGCGCGAGTGGCACACAGGGAGGTTACATAACCCTGGCAGACTGTTCCCTTGGGGCAGACCACAGATGCCATGGCTTGGGTATATAACTCTGTGTGGGCATCCTCGGTAGTTCTTGAATATTTGACCAAGGGGGGGTTTCCAAATTAACCGTGGTCATGGCTTAGTAATTGGTAAGAAAATCTCTTTGTTGAGATTTTGAGAGTCATCTAAATTATTAAAATTGTCAAAATTATTATAATGGTTGTTATATTTATCATGCTATTAATTTTTTATTATTATTTTAATTATCATGGTCTGATTATTTTCTCTTAAAAAGAATGCAACATTGGTTATGTTTTCTTACTGTGTTGCAAAACTCGTGGCATATATTTTGTTGCCTTGACATTTTATGCCAGATTATGACAAGGAAGGGACTGAAGCCGAAATTGGGGCCGCTGCTAATATAAAACCGTGGCTAACTTAAAATCAAGAATTTAGCAAAATAAAATTTTATTATCTTTTGTATTAGTAATTACGAATGTTATAAAGTTGTTATAATATTGTATGGGAACTCGTAATTTTGTTTTGTTGTTAAGCTTTGACTATGTGAGAATTTAAATTTTCCTAATTAGTTGTTAAAATTTTATTTGTTATTTAAATTTTATGATGTTCCAAAAAAAAAATTGGGGTTTCATATTTTGTGTGCCTCTTTTCGGTCGTCTAGCATTCTGCCCTCTCTAAGGAATACAACTATGGTGTCCATCTAGCTAGGACCCATTTCCACGCGTATTGCTTCATACTCTATTATCAGCGGCTCTACACTTGGTCCTGTCAAATAATCCACCACGATTGTCCTTGGTTCCCCTGACTTTATTGCACTAGCCAGGTTTGCCAAGGCGTCAGCGTGGCTATTATCATCTCGGCTAACCTACTGTAGCCGACAATCTTGGAACAGTGCTAGCAGCCCAACAACCTCTTTGACATAGGCTATTATCCTTTCATCTCGGGCTGCATACTCCCCTGTGGATTGATTTATAATAAGTTGGGAGTCACAAAAGACCACCATCTCATCGGCTTCCATTGCTGCTGCTAGCCTTAGTCCAACAATCAGTGCCTCGTGCTATGCTTCGTTGTTTGGGGCCTTGAATCCCAAACGGATTGATTTCTCTATCATTCGCCCCTCTGGCGATACCAGAACCACTCCTGCCCCCGCTCCTTGATGGTTTGGACTTCCATAAACAAACAGGCCGAAGGAATCGCCGATGTAGATGTCGCAGGATTTTGGTTTCTCTTCCTTCTTCTGCGTTGCTGGGGTGGGGTTCTTTGGCCCCGGTTGAGTTTCTTCCTACTCTCCCAGACATCCAAAGTCGCGGCTCACCGGAGCCCGCCTTGGGATTGTGCCAGGAGTGAACTCGACCACAAAGTCGGCCAAAACCTAGCCCTTAATTGCTGTTCTAGGCCGGAATTCCAAGTCATATTAGCCCAGTACCACTGCCTATCTGGCTATTCTACCTATTAAATCTCTATGCTGCAACAGGGACTTCAAGGGATACTCAATTAGCACCACAATCTTGTGGGCTTGGAAGTAGCAATTCAACTTTTTGGAAGCCATTACGAGGGCTAGTGTTAACATCTCCAAGGGTAGGCAGCTGGTTTTTGCACTTGTTAGGGTTTTACTCACATAGTATACAGCCTTTTATTCTCCCCCCTCTTCTCGGATTACCACTACACTCACTGTTTGGTCTGAAACTACCAAGTATAGGAACAACTCCTCTCCAAGCATTGGATTTGACAGAACTGGAGCTGTTGTCAAGTACCTTTTCAGGTCGGCCAAGGCGACTTCGCACTCTTCTGTCCACAAGAAATCTGCGGCCTTTTTCAACAATTGAAAAAATGGTTTACATTTATCAGAACTTCGGCTGATAAATCTATTCATGGCTGCTGCCTTGCCGGTTAAAATTTGGACCTGCTTAGCCGATGTTGGACTCTTTAAATCAATGATGGCCTTGATTTGATCTAGGCTTGCCTCAATGCCCCTTCTAGTGACCAGGTACCTTAAGAACTTACCAGACCCGACTCCAAATGCACATTTTGAAGCATTGAGTAGGAGCCGATATGTTCTTAGGATATCAAAAATTGCCTTCAAATCGGCCAGATGCTTCTCAGGTTCCTTAGTCTTCACGACCATTTCATCAATGTAGACTTCTACTGTCTTCCTAATTAGATGGTTAAACATCTTGGTCACTAACCACTGGTAGGTTGCTCCCGCATTTTTTAACCCAAAAGGCATTATTCTGTAACAATAAAGTTCTTACGGGGTGATAAATGCAGTCTTCTCTTTATTTAGGACATACATTGCTATATGATGGTAGCCTCTGTATGCGTCCAAGAAACTCATCCTCACATGCCCTGAAATGACATCTACTAACTGATCAATCTTACGCAGTAGGTGTCTTTGGGGCAAGCTTTATTTAGGCTGGTGAAGTCCATGGAGACCCTCCACTTGCCGTTCTTCTTTTTCACAACTACTGTGTTGGACAGCCAGGTTGGGTAGTTCACCTCCTGAATAGCCTTGGCTTCCAACAACTTGTGCACTTCCTCCTTAACTGCTTCCACATATACTAATGTCGGCCTCCTTACCCGCTGGATGACAGGTTTAGCCGACCTATCTACATTGAGCCTATAGCAAGTGACCTCGAGGTCGATGCCTGGCATCTCATAGGGCGTCCAGGCAAACACTTCTATGTTCGCTTGTAAGAAAGCTTCTTAACTCCCTTTCCTCCTCCTCAGCTAAGCCTGAGCCGAGAAAGAAGAAGCGCTCTCCATCATCTTCCTGGACCAAAATCTTCTTCAAAGCCTCCTCACTCTTGTGGGCTGGTTTTTTGCCGACATCATCTAGGACCTCCATGCCCTCGTCTTCAATTTCATCTATCTCTGCTTCCCGCACATTGTAGGTGGACTTTATTGCTACCATGAAGTAATTTTTTACTTACACCTGATCCCCTCTTACCTCCTCAATGCCATGCTCTGTTAGGAACCGCAACAGCTGGTGCAGCGTTGAAGGAACAACCCTCATTGCGTGCAACCACGGTCTTTCCAAAATAATATTATAAAGGGAGGAGGTATCAATTATTGTAAACTCTATGTTTACCTTCTTAGTGTCTGTCTGCACCTCCAAATTCATAGCTCCTAAAGGCCACGTCGGCGTTCCGTCGAATCCCACCATCGGACTGTTGGATTGTTCCAGGTCATCTAGGTGAAGGCCAAGCTCCTTGTAACATCTAACATACATGATGTTACAAGAACTACCTTGATCAACTAGTATGCGCCTCACTTGGCACTCTCCAATCTTCAGCGTTATCACCAGGGCATCGATGTGCGGATGTTGCACCATATCTAGGTCTGCCTCAGTAAAAGAAACCACTGGCCCCTGGTACTCATTTGTCCTAGGCTTCTTTTGCTGGTCCTGGTTCACATGTAGATGTCTTACTCTATGAGTTTCCCCACGTACATCATTCTTATTGACCTTCGAGTGAATCACATTGATCACCTGAGGTCCATCAGCTTGTTGCGGTGGCGGTGGTGGTAGCGGTGGCAGTGGTGGTGCTGCCGATGCCTGGGATAGCCTTGCTTGCTCTTTTCTCATTCTGGCCTCATCTACTAGGTCTCTTAGGTGACCCTGTCTGACCAGATCCTCCAAATGTGTCTTCAGAGCCCTACATCCTTGAGTCAAGTACCCATCCTCATTATGGTACGTACAATGCTTCCCAAGGCTTCTTCTCATAAACTCGCCTGGGATTAGTGCTCTATAATACAATTGGTTCCTGATCCTTTCTAGAACTTTGTAGACTGGGATCCTGAATACAATGGTGATTGCCTGTGCAGCCCTCAACCTTCTTTCCTGCCTGTTAAAGCCAGTGTTACCTCGACCTCGCTTTGGTGAGCCGTTTCTCTTCTCCTGCCTTGGTGCCTTCGTTCCCGATGTATCCTCTTCTACCCTGGCGTACTTCTCGATCTGTGCCATGAGCTCCTCTATACTCTTTGGTAAAGTTTTTTGCAAGTGATTTTCGAAGCGGACATTCATCCTCCAGGCCATTTTTTAAAGATGCGACCGCCAGCTCCTGGTTACATGCCGGTATTCGGTTGAACACCTCATAATACCTTTTGGCATAAGCCCTAAGGCTTTCACCCTCACTAATGTTCAGAGCCAGCAGAGAGTCTACCCTCAGTGGCTGCAACTTGTTTGTAACAAACCTGGCCACAAACATCTTGGCCAGGCCTTCCCAACTTTTCACAATTTTTTTCGACAACTTATGAAACTAATCCGACGCGATCTCTCCAAAGGACGAGGGGAACACCTTGCACAACAACTGCTCATTTCTGCTGTATAAAGCCATTGAATTTAAATATAAGCTGACATGAAAGTTTGAATCAAACTTGCCGTCATAAATCTGGAACCTCAGCATATGGAACCTCTTTGGGGCCTCAAACCTACCAACTCCACTGAGAACGGCATTCTCGGCTTGACCGGGGATGTGACCTTGGCGTTGAGTCGCTTCCTCTGGAGGTAGTTTCTCAGACCTTCCTTCGTTCGACCGAGAGCTCAGCTATCAACAGATTTCAGCCTTTTTGGCATGCTATTTCCGGCATCATTGTGTGTCCTTGGACTTTTCTTCATTCACTATATCAAAACACTGGCCCTTTCCCTGGACATGCCAAGGTTCTCTGACATAAGTTCCCTTGGTCCGAGACGTCTTCTACGACTCACCTCTCACTAACTCCTCTTCCCTGACATTCCATAAAGGCCGATGTGAGCACTCTATTTCCTTTCCATGCTGCGAGACTACCGAGATTGTTCTTTGTCCCCCCCTTTCTGGGCGTCAGTCTTTGTCGTTGGTACCAACGTATCCTACAACGGAAACGGTGGTTGCATCACCTTGTTCTACTTCATGAAGTTGACAACAGACTGTAGGTCTGCCAACTTGTTCGCCATCCCTTTCATCTCGCCGTTCCTCCTCAGGCATCTATCCTTCCATACCTAGAGGTCACTTTCGTTGTAGTACTCATCTCGACCAACTTTTTTCGGGGCATTCTGCTCTTTGCTGACGTCCTTTTCCCTAAGATTTGGATCCTGTGTTTCTTCATTACGATTTTCTTTCCCAACATTAGGATCTCTATGTTCACAACTCTCATTGTTAATGTCATCCCCAATCTTTCCTTCCTATCTGTCGTTGGCCATCCATTCTCCTTAAGTTCTCACAGAATGCGCCAAATTGTGGGTGTTGATTTTTGACCACACAACCAAACAGAGAACTCAGCTAGAGAGCACCGACCGAATAGATTAAACCCAACAATCTGCACTAGAAGATAAGAATCTGGCGGTGGTTCATCCACCCGGAGACACTCTGACGATCAAGTCAATAATCAATATCTCTCACAGATAGCAAATTGTGCTTAAACTTACAAGAAAAGGCTTCTCTCAGACCCACGAGGGTGCCTTGTTTTATAACCAGCAATGACCTAATCCCATTAGAAGCCTCACTTCAATAGACATAGGCTCAATGCTCATCCTGGACCTTCATCTAGATAGAGATAAACTCTCCTTGAGCCTTATCCTTATCCAAACTGAGATCCTCCCCTATTCTAGGACTCTAATCCCTTATCTACTTATCTCGGATTCCGACATCTTCATAGATAACCTCGACCTAACCAATATCACCTTAGCAGCGTGACCAAGCCACGTGGCACCTCGACTGACACTTCGGCGTCACCTTTGCCACGTGTTATCATTCACAAAATACTTCCCCACAATATTTTTCTTTAAAAAACTATTAAAATTATGTGATAGTGACATCTTTGAAATTAATATCATTTTAAAAAATACTTTGTTTTAAAATAATAAATTCAAAAGTGGCTCAACCATTAGATCACGTAAGCGATCACTAAGGCCTATTACAAAAAATTTAAAATTTTTTATTGTCAAAGGCCCTTGCTTTTTAAAAACTTAGTTAAATAAAATAATAAATTCAAAAGTGGCTCAACCATTAAGCCTCCGTTTAGGAAGTGGGTTGATTTTTTAGCTTTTTGGGCTATTTTAGTCTAGGCTAAAAAGTTTTTTTGGAAAAGACTTTTTGGCTTTTTAACTTTTTTAATTTTTTTTGTGAGAGAAGAGTGTAATGATTATGGGTTAGATGTGATGTTTTGTTTGTTATGACTAAAATAGCCTATTTTGTCTTTTGTAACTAAAATAGCCCCAAACTTTCTTTGCCAAACGGAGAAATCACTTAAGCGGTAAAATTTTTTATTGTCAAAGGCCCTAACTTTTTAAAGGCTTAATTAAATAAAGTTATATTTTAATATTTAACCTAAAGCTTCGAAAAATCTTGAGCCACCGTTAAATAAATCCCAATATAATCATATCATTCTACATATAAATTTTATATTTCTTTTAAAAAAAAGGGTTTGTCGTTGTTATTAAATTTTATATTTCTTTTAAAAAAAAGGGTTTGTCGTTGTTATTAAACTACATGTTATAACGTGTATCAAAATCTGTTACTCACCTTGACACTGAAGTGCCCTTTACATGATTACTTGGGCAACTATCCAAGATGCCCTCTCCATTGTGTATATATATATATATATTATATTAATATTTTAAGTTGTCATTTAAGATAAAAAAAATATTAAAATATTTAGAATATTAATTATTCTCACGCATGCATAAATATTTGAAGAATTTACGTATAAATTTTAATAGATGAACTTATTATTTAATAATTCTATAATAATTAATGATATTTTTTATCAAATATTATTAAAAAAACGTTGTTAATTGTTAATTTTCAGTGACAATTTAAAAATTGTCACAAAAAATATCACTAATTATAAGTTTTAGTGACAGTTTAAAAAAATCGTCAACTTTCAATAACAGTTTAAAAAATTAGTTATAGAAAATTATTACAAATTATAAGTTTTGGGGGCAATTTATAAAAATGGTGACAAAAAAAATTATTAATTGTCAATTTTTAGTGACATATGTAAAAAAATATCAAAAAAAATTATTTTTAGTGACGATTTTCTTAATACTTATTTTGAATAGAATTTGATGAGATTAAGTCCAATTATTACAACTTATCAGTAGTTTACCTAAGGTCTTATTTGTCATAATCTAAAAAAGTTAAAAAGTCACTATCCTATTTAAGTCACATCATCTTATTTAAGTCAAATCACCTCTCTATCACATCACTTCAAACTCAACCCATACTTAATTTATATTTCATAAAAAATAAAAAATTATACTTATTCAGATCATCCTAAATCACCTTTTATATTTTTACATAATTTTAGATTGCTTCATTAGCCCGGCAACAAAACTCGGAACCACTTTTACTCATGTTTCCTAATCATAACATTAGCACTTTCTTACTTTATCTCACGCCAAATTATTTGTACACCACAATGCGTAATGTCAAAGATTTTTAAATTATTACTATTAAATTTACTCATATTGACGTAATCATTATTGAATATTAGTAAATTAATTTTTAAATATAACACGTCATTAAATTTAAATTTAAGAGTCATGTTTAAAATTAAAATAAAAATTCTTATACAGGTGTTTGGGATTGACCTTTTCATGACATTTTTGTTGACTTTTTTTTTATTCCGTATTTAGTGATTTTTTTAAATTTCATACAATTATACATTTTTTTAGTTCTATTCAATTAGACTGATAAGAAAATTTAAAAAATTTAAAAAGGTCAAGAATTGACAAAGAAAAAAAAAAGCTTTTTGACTTTTTTTTGTGTTTGGTGATTTTTTTTTTAGAATTTTCAATTTTTCTTTTTCTTTTTTTAACTTTTCAAATTGTTCTTCACAAGACGAATTCAAAAGGTAAAAAATTTTAACAATTTTTTTTTAAAAAAAAATCACTTACGATAATTTTTTTTTTTTTAAATTATAACCTTTTCAATTTGATGTCAAACACTATAAATTATAAATGTGACTGTTCAGTGGGGACTGTATGATCAAAATGGCTGAGAGTTTAGTGATAGGATATTGCTTCGTAGCTCAAAATTTTGGAGGCTTGAGTAGCTTGAATGTCAAAACGATATCGTTTTGGCCTCTCTTTTTTTCCCTCTCTTTTCTCTCTGAAACAAAGAGGCGAGAGAAGAAAAAGGGGGAATAGAGAGAAGATGGAGGAAAAGAGAAGAAGAAAAGAAGAGAAAGGGAACAGAGAGAGAGAGATATATACACAGATCTATGTGTGTATACACACAGATGAGGGTCGTGATGGGCGATGGTGATGGCGGCGCCGGTGGGTGGGGGTGTTTGCGACGATGATGGCGATGCGTGACAGGCAACGATGATGGTGGTGCTAGTGGGTGGAGGGTTTGCGACGGTGATGGCAGCGCCAGTGCGTGGAAGTTTTGGCTCTCTCTCTCTGTGTTCCCCCTCTCTCTTTTCTCTTTCTTCTCTCTTCCCCCCTCTTTTCTCATTCTCTCTTCTTCCTCCTCTCTTTCTTTTCTCCTTCTTCTTTCTATTTCAGAGAGAAAACAGAAAGAAAAGTCAAGAAGGAAGAAGAAAAGAAGAAAAAAAAAAAGTGTCCAAACGATATCGTTTTGGTACCTCGAGCCACAAGTTATTCGAGCTACCTAGCGGGATTGTTAATGTTAATAATAAGATCATTATTATATTTTTTTTGAGACAAAGATGATAAATTGAATATGTTATGATTATCGAATCGATTTAATTTTTTTATAAATAATATACACAAAGACTTTACCATATGAACAATTAGAATCACTGAAATGATAATCGTGATGAATTCCACAAATTTAAACAATACTCTCCTATGGATGCCTAAAGAGATATTTAAAATGAATGGAAAAAAAAGAATTGAAAAAAAAAGAAGAAAGTAGACGAGTGACAGTGGCAGAAAATCTTGGCGTGTTCATTTTTGCACATGCAAGCATTTATATAAGGTTTGTTTTATTCCCTAACCATTCTTGGTGAAGGAAGAGCTGTACAATTTGAATACAGTCACTCACTTGGAGTACTGATCAGCCATGGTGAAGGACACCATAACCTTACCAT